GCCAGCTGCTTCCACATCCTCGGACTGCCACTGTGCCTGCATCCTGGTGGACACTGGGACCTGGCCCTTGGGGAGCCCAGCCATTCCCAACACTCCTGTTATGGGGTTGAACTGTGTCCCCCCCAAAGACCTCACATCTGTGAATGAGACCTTACTAGAAAGTCTTTGCAAGATGAGGTCATACTGGAGTAGAGTGGGCCCTAAGTCACTGACTGGTGTCCTTGCAGGGAAGGGGGCTCAGACAGGGTGACCACTCTGGAAGGAAGGCAAGGGTCAGAGTGATGCAGGATAAGGAGCCAATGCTAAGGACTGCCAGCACCCGGCAGAAGCTGGGAGAGGCCAGATGCGATCCTCTCCAGGCCCCTCCCAAGATGGCACCTTGCAGGTGGACTCCCAGCCTCTGGCTGTGCTGACCTGCCGGTGTCTGTCATCGTGCCTCCTCCTCCAGACGCCCTTGGCTGCATGTCAGCTCCTCTGGAACCTCGTTCTGCACCCACCGCTCCCCTTCCCCTGACGCCGTTCCCAGCAGCCCTGGCAGTTCTGGCCCAGGAAACATGAGCCAGCTCAACGAACGATGGAGTTCCCTCCTTTGCTACTTCATATTCAGATGCTTGTAAAAGCAAGGGGGAGCCAGGTGGTATGGTGGTTAAGGTGCTAAACTCCTACATGACCAACCACGGTTCAAGTCCTGGGCCTGGCGGCTTGAAAACCACACAGGGCACATGTGTGTGTGTGCCAAGAGGGGAATGGAGAAGGAACTGCAGTGTGGCCATTCCCCTCCCCAAAGGCGATTTCTTTTGGTAAGTGCACGCACCCTATGACAAAAACCTAAAAAAAAACAAAACAAAACAAAAAAAAAAACAAGGACAGGGGATTGGGGTGCTGGGAAATGGGGAGGTGGGCAGGCAGGAAGCTTCCAGGTGCTCTGGATTCCTGTGTTCTCAGCTGCTGCGGTTGAGCGAGGTAAAGTCATCCGGGTCACCCTCTTCCCCATTCTGTGACCCTGCACCACTCATGTGCCTCTCACAGCCTGCTGGCTCTCCAACCTGCACCGCAGGGACGTTCTGGCGCCTGCTTCTGAGGGCCGCCCCGGCGTTTGAGCAGCAGTGCCCGAGAGGCCCGTGTGCTGACGAACCACATCGCTCACGCTCACAGAGACGGGAGAAGTTTAAGAGGGACAGACACAGCGTGGAGCACAAGCCAGAACAGGTCTGAGCCCTGGCGCTGAGATCTAGGGCAAGTCATTTCCCCTCCTGGCTTCATTTCCGAGGCTGCACAGGAGGAGGTGACTAGTAAGCAAAAACCATATTGTAAGTCTTCGGCCTGACCTTCCAATGGCTTCCCGTTATATTTACAACGAGACCTGGAGCTTGGTCCCAGCCTGTATGAGGGAGCCTCCGTCAGGGCTCCCAGTGACCCCGGAGACCCCTGCCGCCTGGTGCACCATCCTGGAGGACTGGCTTTAGTCTGCCTCCTAGCCAGTGGGCCACGATTGGCAGTGCACCACACCTCATTTGCCCTCCTGTGCACCCGCCTTCCTCCCAGGGGAAGCACATGCTGGCCCTGAAAGCTGCCCTCGGTCCAGACTTAATCCTGCCAAGAAAGCGATCGAGCTCCGACATGGACACCCGGCTGAGCCTCGGTGACTGGGGACCTGCGGCAGGGCCCCAGCTAAGCCAGCCTGGGTGCCCTGTGCCTGTGCCTGTGCCTGCAGAAGCGGTGGCGACAGATGTCTGCTGCTGGGAGCTGGCGGTGAGGGTGAGGGCATCCCAGGGCTGCAGGTCACTGCACAGCATGCAGGCCTGGGCCGGTCCTCCCTCCGGCCCGGCTCCCAGTCATTCTCTAGCCACACTGGCCTCTTTTGACCTCTTCTCTCACCAGCCACGTTCTGCATGCTGAGCTCCCAGCGCGCTGGCCCCAGGTGTGTGCAGGCTGGCCCTCTTACCCTTCTGGTGGCAGCGTCAGTGGCCCTTCAGGGCGACCTCCCAGACCCCTGGCTAGGGAGCGGCAGGCACTCATACTTGCATTTATGCTTCTGTCCCTCTCTACGACCAGACTCCTGGGGACAGGGCCCTGCTGGTCATTCTCAGAGCCACCCCAGGCCCCGCAGAGCAGAGTGCCGGGGCACAGTTGCTAAGTGAAGAGACGAGCGGATGTCTGAGCCCTCTCCCTGCCTCTGAGCAGCTCGTACCATGGAGACAGATGCTAGGAATGGGAGGTGCACACAAAGTGGAGGTGGGGGCGGGGAGGGGGGACACACAGGGACTACAGGACACCCGAAGGACCCTGGGAGCCTCTTTCCTCACTCCAGCTGTCCTATTGAGCGCAGTGGGCACTGCCACCCCCTGGTGGTCAGTGTGAACACTGCTACCCCAGGCCGGAAACCCAGAAAACAAAACACACACCTTTGTTTGAGTGTGTTGTCAAGGTAGCAGCCCTCCCTGTCCCAGGGGGGTGCAGGGGAGCAGGGTCTGAGGCTCCAGGGGTAATTCAAGGAACCTCAGAAGCCTCGCTTGTGCCTCTCTTCCCCTCTGCTGGCCCTGGGTGTCCAGTTCACTCCCCAGGCCTCCTCCACCAGCCCGGGTGATGACCTCACTCCACATCCAAATGAGGACCCCGAAGCTCCAAGAAGCCAGTCTTATTCCCAGACTGGACACAGGTCCTCGGTCCTCCAAACCGTTCGGGCTGTTCTCTGCTGGGAGGACCTCCGAGGAGAGACAGCACTGTCCAAGGGGACTTGGACACTGGTCACTGACCAAAGCCAAGGAGCCAGTGGGACCGCTGGGTCACACAGGCCAAGACCTCAGTCTGCAGAGGAGACAGGCATTCCCTCCTGTAGCCCTGCCCTAAGGAGGGAAGTTTGTCCCAGTTCTAGCTGCCCTGGCCCTGTCCGCTCCCGGTGGCTGTGGGATGGCCCTGTCCCTGTCCCACGCAGGCCCTGGGAACCCTGGGGACAATCCACCCCCCCCATCTGTTTGGCATGTCTTCCCCTCCAAGATAGGAGCCCGGGCATGTTGCTAGGAAACTAGCTGCCCTTGCCCATGACAGCTGCCTTCAACATACTCCTGTTCCCCTTGTCACCTCTCCGGTGTCCCCTCCACCTTTGACCCTTAGGAAGTCCACCCGTATGTTCCAGCGCGCTAGTGTGTGTGAGAGAATACCCAGAGAAAAGGACTCCACGTTAGAGGGGTGAGTGGGGGTCCTCAGGATCTTAGGGGTTCCTATTTTCAAAGCAAACCCTAAGTGAAGGTTGAGCCCCGGGCTAGGAGGCCAGAATGCTCCCCTCTTCCGCCCGCATTCGGCCCACCGCTAGTGCTCCGGGCCGGTGCCCGCCTCTCGCCTTGCCTCTATCTCCCTATTGTACCAAGAGGGGTTGAACGCGGAGCTGCGTAAGCGCGCTCGGCGGCGTGGACGCGGCGCCCGGCTCCCTCCCGGCTGGGTGGGGTGTGGGCGGGGGTGTGAGGCCCTCCCTCCCGCCGGCGACAGGGAGGGCGGCCCGGCCGGGCGGGGCACTCACCTGGCAATCTACCATCATCCTCAGCCTCGGCAGCTCATCGCCGGCCCAGGGCGGGGCCCGGGGCTCGCACAGGCCGCTCGCCTCGGCCGGCGCGCGGCGCAGGGGGGCGCCCGGCTGCGGAGCTCATGGCGCGGCCTCCGGTCCCAGCC